AGAATGGATAGTATAGATATTCTCTATTTCTTCTTGCAGAATGCATATAAGTTCTTGAAGTAGGCGGGAATATCTTTTTTCTAGTTTAAACCACCAGCCAGAATACTTCCAAATGTAATCATAGACAGCGAATCAACATACTACGTTATCTAAAGTGAACAACAGTAATAAAACTGAACCACAATAATTAATTTTTATTACCATTATGGACTATGAAAGTTTGTAATCATCACATGGTGTTATACCAAAAAAATGTTTGAACGGCGCCGGGAAGTGTTTTTTCCTACACTTATTAATTCTTATAATATAAGTGTGATTCGGTTAAATCATTATCTGCGAGTTATACATCGTTTCAGTCGCCCTTTGAACTCTCTGAGTCGCGCAGAACATTTTCGCCATTCCACTTTACATAGACTTACAAACGTGGTTGAATGCGATTGACAAAGAGCGTGAGTTTCCAAAATTGAAAAAATTATTGCGATGAAATTCTTGGCTATAAAAACAAAGTCGTCTTGGCCGTACATAAAAAAAAACCACTCCACGGATGATCAAGAAAAAGAAATTGACGAATATCACCTCTAGAACGTTGCGTGCAACTGCTGTTCGAAATTGAATCACCGTGTCATTCGTGGATAGCTTGTTTTCAGCCCATTGCCATATAGACAACATGAGACTGAAACATACGACTCCTATCATCACTCTACCGAATACTGGAGGTATTGCAAGGCTTTTGTTCAATTCCGAGGTTAATATACCTGTGGAGTTGAGTGTGAAGCTTGGTAGAGTCTCCTTAAGGGTTTTGTTTAATGTGGCTATAACATCTGCTGGTAGGCTCCGAGCTTCATTCACGCGTCCTATGTCATCCAAAACAATGTAAATCATGTCAATAACATCGAACAGATCGATGGCCATTTGAAAAGACAGCTTGAACACTAAATCTTTACGTCCTTGAGATCGATCCAGGTCATCTGCATTGTGTAGCAACAGTAATAACAGAGGAGGCGTGAGGCATAGAATTCCCTTTAAGAGACCCAAGCTCGGGAACTTCTTGGTGCCAAGTTTGTCTCCAACCAATCCAAAAATGATCCCGATGTTCACTATCAAGGCAGCAATGTAGAGACTCCAGACTAATAACAGCCAACGAAGTGTGGCTTTCTGAAAACGTAACAGCAAAGTAAACGCACCAAGTGCTGGGAGGAAAACTGTTAATAAACTGTACCATTTAGAATTTTCATACTCGCCAGGGTAGCAAGCGAGGAAAATTGCTTGAATTACCAAGATAACGCCAAATGCAATCCGTCCTGTGTTCCTCAGTGTCAATTCAAACGGACAACGAGCCATAATCAGAGAGATCGAAGGGCCAGGAGGTTTGTAAGCAAAACGTTCTGACTGCTATAAATATAGAGCTGACCTTTCAAATCTGAAAAGTTTTCTAGCGAATTAGCAAGCGCCACATCCTTTTCCATCATGCAAAAATAACTCATAAGGGACTTTCCCGAATCGGTTAATCAGCCTTGTGGTTGTTTTCATTTCCGGGAATTGTCTTGATTGACATCATAGTTTTATAAGTTTATCATATTCAAGGTTACTCTGATAGTCAACACTGGAATCATTTGCAATCGTCCTTGCAACTAAGGCCAACTTCATTTGTGATGAAGTAACTTAAATTTCTTTTCTTCGCATATATTCACGAATTATATTTTTGCCTCACATCGCACCCCGTGACATACACATAATCTCGTGCGGCCTTTCTCGGGAAACCTCTCTCCGTTGTCTTACGTTTACCAGCATTCCAAAGTGGGCGAAGGAGTTTCACTTCAGTACAAGAATCACCGATTGCATGAAGCTGTTAGTTATCTTTTTTTTCTAGTAGGATCGTTTCGTTGAAGTTCGAAAAGAAAAATTCGTAGATGGCTGTTTTTGATTTTTCTTTTTTTGCAGCCAACTAAGAAGAGAAATTAAAATTAAAGTGAATTCATCACAAGATTACGTGACTAAATACGCATATATTTCCTTTTAATTTAATGAATTGCGGATTTATGTATAGGTAAAATAAATCGTGTTAGTCTAGAAGGAAAGAAATATCGCCCATATTTTACATCAACTGAGAGTTTTTTATTTGGATATGCATACTACATCTGTGATTACTGAGAGTCGAATTACTACGGATCTAGAGAGAATATTCATAGTTATTTATAATCATACTAATCCCACACTGTTCTCGAACATGTCGTATAGTCAAGGTTCGGTCCCGAATTTTTGTTCACACAAAGTCGTCCCTGATTCCCTTCACATCTTGACGACGAAGTCCGTCCTTTTAACTCAGTGGGGCCTTCTCAGTCCGAAACAACTTACGCAAAGGGACCAGAAACTAGTCGAATGTGATTCACATAGTGCGTAAATATCTAAAATGGAGAGAATTATTCCCATGATGTTCTTGGCTATGAAGATAGACTCGTCTTTGCCATATTTGAAGAAAACGACCGCGCGCATGATCAAGAATACAAGATTGACGAACACAATTTGTATAACGTTTCGAGCAACTGCGACTCGAAAATGAATGGCTGTCTCGGTACCTTCTGAGAGTTTGTTTTCAGCCAGCTGACAGATAGACAACAGTAGAGAATCTTCTGCAGTATGTAGCAACAGTAGCAAGAGAGGTGGTGTTAGGCTTAAAACCACCTTCAGGGCATTTGGACTGAGGAATTTTTCTTTGTCAAATCTGTCTTCAACCCTCACAAAAATGATGATAATGTTAGGTATCAAAGCACAAATAACGTACAAATACCAGACATAAAACAACCATCGAAGTTTTGCGGCTGGAGCGAACAGATTTGTTACGGCATACCAGTTAGGATCGTTTTCATAAGTCGCAGGATATGCGGCAAGGAAGAAGCATTGAACTGTCAAGATAATTCCGAACGCTACAGTCGCCAGTAATCGCTTTAAATAAGGGAAAGAACAATCCATGACTCACTACAGGTTGACGAAATTCACAGAATCATCGAAAAACAACAAAAGAAATGGCGCTTGCCGAAGTAAATAGGCTTTAGCTTCACTCACTAGATAAACGAAGCTAACCAATGAACTTGGGACAAGTTGTGTTGACGTCATAAACATAGATTAAAACGGAATCTTTTGAAAAGCAATGCCAGACTATCGTAGTGAAAGGTAGAATTGAAGTAAAGACTCAAAGCATATATAGCCTTTGGCAAATCTGTATTTATATGCTATCGAACATGTTTCTTTGGAATTACGCCTATTTAGAAATTTCGCAACTTACAATAGGTATTTAAGTCGTAAATACTGGTTCAAAATGTCACATCTAGAACGGAAGTCATTTCCAGTGAAAGCAGCAGGTGACTTTTAAATTCCAAGAAAACAAAATCTAAGATCTTCCTATTTTTTCCGATGTAATACCTCCTTAACAGCTGAAGAGAAACATTGCAGAAAGAATAGAAAACGATAAACAAATGTACGTGTTTTTTTTTTTTTTCGAACGTAAACGAGAAAAATAGGGGCAACCAAGAAAAAGAGTTCGACTCCGTCTTCGTCGGCGTTTTCGCGGAAGTGGGTTCGATAATCATCTGAATTCTAATGTGAATCGAACCTAAGACCAAATATCAACGCTTGTAAAAAGCCATTCGGTTTAATTCTCCGAAAGGGTTGATTGGTTGTAATTTATCTGAAGGATGCAAAGCTAGAAAAGCGCATTTTCTCACCACACAATTGCATTTGACTTCAATTCTTCTTTTGTTTCTGACTATCGGTTGAGCCTTTTGGTGAAACTCGAGTGAGCTAGTCCATATATTTAAATGGGACAGACTTGCTTCCTTCATACAGTGTTACGGTTTTGAACATGATGTTTTAGGCGCACCTAGTGCGACTCAGTTTCGTCTGTTATGCCCATTTCGGGGCAAGTGAAGTTACATATTATGTTGATTCCCTACAAACTACGAGCAACCAGTCCATAAAGAACGTACAGCGCGACTAGTCCATTTTTTTTTTTTCGTTTTCATTCTCACTCTTCAGGTTAAGAAGCTGGAAAAATAAGCCTAAATCCCTATGGCCAGAAAGCCATGTTTTAAAGGTGCTTGCACAACAAAATTAGTGCTATTGAAACAAACTACATAGTCAATACTAAGAAAGTGCTATACAACGGCGAGATCTTTTCCGAAAAAGTTGATATTTAACAAATGCAAAGAAAGAACCTGATAGGTCTTTGTAAATGACGTAACACGAGGGACTTTCAAGTTTTCCTGATTTATTTGGAACACAAATATTGCATCTAATATAACCGCCAATTGTTTTAATTGTTTATCTTCAAATGATTGGAAGGATTAAGGTTAATTAATTCTAAAAAAAAATTTCCCCTTTTTTTAACATTAAAAATGACATATATTCAACTTTTAATACTAATTTTGATTCAGTAGGAACTTAGTCTCCAACAACAACATTTAAGTTTAATGGGATATTGTTCGTTGTTTGAATTTATTTATCGTGCTTTTGTGATGCTTCTTGGCTAGCACAGCCAAGGTTACAGGCTTAAATGATCTTGTTTTTCTTTTATATAGTTGAAAGACTAAATTCATTAATTATTTATAAGTGAGATCGGTAAGACACCGTTTGCGTATCTATGTCACGTGGAAAAAAAGGCGTCATGGACTTTTTAATTTTTGGGTTGCCAGGTTGAGCTTAAAAACTTGAAAACTGTGAGAAGCATAGTCCTTATTTTGTGTTACCTTGGTTAGTGATTGTTTCAGAAAACACTGTTTACAATGATATCTGTTGATAATTATACATAACACAATAGTCCTGAGATGTCGGCTAAGTCACAACTATTACATTAGCTATGCATTTGCATAGAAAACATTTAATGAGAGAAATTATAATGATAAAAATAAAGAAAGTTTAATATTGTCACTTTACAGTTTTCATAAAGTCTTACTCACAACCGATCGTGCATTGTTCAATAATGACAACAAATACTCCTTGCCAGATTAGATCTTTCTCAGGCCGAAACAGCTCTTACATAACACAGACCAAAATTTAACTGAATGTGATTCACAATGTGCCTTAGTGTCCAAAATGGACCAAACTATTGATATGATATTCTTGGTAATGAAGATAGATTCATCTTTTTGGTACTTAACGTACACCACTAGGCGGATGATCAAGCAAAATAAATTAACAAAAACCATCTCTACCAAATTGCGGAGAACTGTCGTTCGAAAGTGAATCTTTGTGTAATCTCTTGATAGCTTGTTCTCAAACAGTTGCCAAAGTGAAATTAGTAGGCTGAGAGATGCTACTGCAACCATGACCATTCCGAAACTTTCAGGAATTGTGGTGAGGCTTGACGTTGCAATTGTCGGTTGGGTTTCGTTTGTTATAATATTTGCATTCGAGTAACTCGTGCTCCCGTGTCGTTTGTCTTCCAAGACGATAGCTATCATATCCACAAAATCGAAGAGATTGACGACCATTTGGAAGGAAAGCTTAGACACTAGATGTTTGCGCGCATTAGAGCGATCTAAATCGTCGGCATTGTGTAACAATAAGAGAGGAGGTGTGACACACAGAACTCCCTTTAGAATATTAGGGCCGAGGAATTTTCTGCTGTCAAGTTTGTCTCCGATAGTTCCAAATATGATCCAAATGTTTACCAAGAGGGTAATAACGTATGAAAGCCAGACATAAAACAACCAACGAAGTTTCGGCTTGGTACAGATGAGAACAAGCCACACGAGCGCAGTAATAGCAAATAAAACACCTTGTACTATCGGTACCCAGAATGCAACCTCGTCATAATCTAAGGAATAAGCGACCAAATATCCGCCTTGGATGAGTAGGAGAAGAAAGAACACCAAACGGCCCAAGAACAGCGAACACGACGCCATAACTATAACTTGAAAGCCTTTGCAAGTGAAATGTGCTTACTCATCAAGTTGGTAATAAGTCACGCAGGTGTGAATATTTAATGCAAAGAGGTTTTCCCAACGTCGAGAATGTCTGCTTGTACCAAAAACGTTGAAATCAACTTGCAGGGACTAGATGGAGTTACACGGTACATATGAGCGACCAATAAAATTTTGCTGATAGCTCAATACTTTGATTGATATTATCTGATTTCTGCAACAAAATAATTTCATTGTGTGATAATGTCATTCAAATGTAAAAACTGAAAGGGACTTTCCCGGTAGAGCTGACGCTTTTTATTTAAACAATGAAACAGCTGGTTCTCTTTGTGTTTGTATATATTAATAAAATGGTGTATTTTTTTCTGGGGTTTCCACCTCCACTCCGATTTCATTGAGTTCATCAGGAAAAGAAAACGTCACGCTCTCCCTTGACTGATTTTGACCCTTTTTTCAGAAACGCACGGTGAGTGATTTACCAAAACTGATTCAGAAACCTTCTATTCTCACAGCTCACAGAGCAATTAAAAATTAATAGGGATATTCCCCGTCATTAATGCCCTCGGCCTTTCGTTTTCAGATTGAGAATATCGACTCACGAGAGACCCCTGAATTTCACACGCAACAAACCAAAAAATTAATATATAAGTGATCTTTGTAGTAATGAACACTACTTAAGCAGTAGTGAAAATAAGGCCTGGAAAAAAAATCAAAGCCTGCGCGGGATTTAAACCCATGACCTCTGCGATACCGGTGCAGCGCTCTACCAACTGAGCTAACAAGCCAATTAGGAGCTGGTCACTATGCTGGTTCCAGATTACTGCGAAGATCACTTCCACATTCATTTCTTCAACAAAAAACAAAATGGCACATTTTCCTCAATTGACGTCAAATTTCAAATATTTCGGACGACATAATATCAACCCAAAACTCTCCTTTCAACTTATACGGAGTGCGAATATTATATTTTTTAATGTCTTTCAAAGCCATAAGTTTATTTCCCACATCAAACAGTTAATCAGTTTATCAAATTATCACGAGGTCTTTATTGCACATTTTAATTTGGCGGTAGAAAATCGATCAGGCTATGATGAAATCAATGCTGAGACAATAAGCTGAAATAATATCCACTCTGAAATTATGTTGGCAGAATCATCACAGCAAAAAGAATACTCTTGCTCGTCTTCAGTGCATGTTGAATCCCACTGTAGTTTCAGCTTAAGAATAATCAATAGCGTTCCGTTCAAAAGAGAAGAACTGAAAGATGGCAAATAAAAAAAATGGTTAGTAATAATATTCTTGGAGAACGCATGTATGTTATTAAGGTATGCGGGAGTGTCTCCTTTCTTAGGTTAAATCACCAGCCAGAATACTTCCAAATTTAATCAATAAAGGAACAGAAAAAACTTATAAAATTGTCAGTTGATGCAAAAATGCGATTACATCTTTCGGGAATATCAGAGTCTCTCCGCCATACCCATACCCCTTATAAAATTTTTCTAGTTCCAGACGTCGCGGCGTATTTTAAATTTTAAATGGCCACCTTCGAGTAGTGTAATTTTTGTTTTCATTGCTCTTGTGATAATTCTATTCAGACGAGAGGATTTCCGAGAAAATTGCTGCGAAGTTAATGTTCTGATTACCTTGTTATCGTCAGTAAAAACAGGCTTCTCCAGCTGGGCGGAGTTATCGTTCGGAATCCCACCATCTTCCATGTCGTTGTTAAAGTCAAGGGAGACAGTTTGAAATTCATAGGGAGGTGGTTGCTCATAGACTATCCCATTATCAATTCCAAGTTTGGCCTCTGTTTGATGCTGTGCTTCTTTCTCTTTCTTTTCTTTCTTCTCTCTTATTCGACGTGCTCTCTTAGGTCTGAGATACAAATAACTCTCGTTTAACGTTTCGTGGAGAGATTTACAGAAATGTCAAGGTTAGCCAATCGATAGACATGTGACGGGGTAGACATAGAAGCAAGAAATACGTTTGTTCACGCAACTCTCAGCAATGTTAAAGGACACTCAATTACAACCATTAACAATGCAACTTATAACGCGACCAAACATCAACATCTGTCGCATCATCATTTTTACACTGCTCCACCTTCTCATTTGCATTCTGTATACTATACGTCATATCAACACTAACATATACTTCTAACATATACACTTCTAACTAAACATAATTTCATCATAAATTTCTGACACAAAAACAACCCCTTTCTAAATTTAAATCAACCAAATACTTCCGAACCCTTTAGATGGGTTGTTTCTCCAACAAATTCACAGTAGCCCAGTGATAGAGTATGGGAAGATGAAATCAAAACTGGCTGGGGCTGGAATCCTCATCTTTTTTTTGGATCCCACGTTCGTATGTGTAACATATTTCTTTGTGATAAACTGTGGATCAGCGTTATTATCAGAGCAATTGCGCACCTCCCCCGCCCCTAACCCAATAAAAGTTAACTGATAACAAGTTAGGGCCAATGTTGGGTTAACGGAGGGGAGGGTGTGCAATTTCTCAGATACCCTCCCTTCCATGTTGTTTCAGTCCCGAAATTTTATCTTACGAGCCCCGTTATGTCTACTCCTCGTGTTACCCACCTGTGCCGACAGCAGAAGCATAACAGACCAGCAATGATCACACAACCAAACAATACAATTGGAATTACTGAAAAGTACAAAATAAAGGGTTTACATTGAAAGTACATTTCGGAAGCAACGATAACGATAACGATAACACTGAATTACCATATCATGCCTCCTTTTCAGTAGTTCCTACCTAAAAAGAGAGTTTCTTTCAAAGGCTTCTTCGCAAGTGCTCCATTGCTAATGAGATCAGAATCAAGGAACTTTCTGGGACCATCTTTCTCAAAGACAAAAAGAATGACTCTAATGATACATAACGTTAGAGACATTACACTGCCTGCTACAGATAATTACACAATAAACATGAATCCAATAGGTTTATAACCTACAACAGCTTACACGTTTCTTATTTTGCCCAGCAGTAGAAAAGCCAGAGAACAAAACAGTAATTTCAAGAAACGCGACATTATTTATTTTTTATACACCTCCTTTAACATCTTAAGTTTAAACTAACGCAATGAACAAAGTGATTTTAACGGAGGATTACAGAGAAATTATCGAAACAAGTATTTCAAAAATGTTTTAAATATTCTCTCGTTATCATTCGTGTGCAAAGTAGTCCTGAAAAGGTCTGTTTACGGTGAAAATGAATAACGTTTCGACAACCTGAACGGAAATCACTTTGATTTGGCCACAACCGCAAATCCAGGGGGTAGGTCTACGGGTCTCGGAACCCACTCCGTCTACCCATTAGAGCTGTGGTTATCTTGTCGACTTGTCTGACACCAAAAACGTCAGGATCACATAATACAACTCAACTTGAAGAATTTAGAATTTACTTTTCTTGAATTATTTCGTAGCCTATCTAGGCTTTGTGTCGTCTGGATATAAATTTGGACCCCCTCCCTCGTCCCAATTCCTGGATTCAAGTTTGTGTAAACTGCAACAGGGTTATTTAACATTATCAGCTTAGTTGATAACGTAAATTAGCCACCAAAAAGAGTTTCGAAGCTGACGCTTTGAGCGTCAGTCCTTTGTCATGCTCTCTCACTATCACAGCGACACATTGTGTTTAGAAAATTTAGAAATTTTTCTTTAGAAATTTACCCCCTTTATTAGTGTAAACTGTAAGCTAGCCTGTTAGTCTCTATTTGAATGCTAAAGGAAATAAATTTTCAGCTCAACCGAAGTTTCATCTCACCTGATGGACATCCATACAAAGCAATACGCATACACATCCATTTTCCCGTGCGGCTCTTTGGATAAATACGAATATAATGAGCCCACGTGTCTTTCAACGTCGTATTCTTTGCTTTTACGTCGTCATTAGCTGAAAACTTTGTACAGATAATTCGATATAAGTTCATGTTAAAACATGATTCATATTTTTAAAGAAAAATTCGACCGTGTGTGCTGGGGTTGATGAAAATTATGAAACAGTACTGTTATCGATGAAAATCATTGTTTTTAACTTTAGAAAATTGGTGTTTAGATTCCTATAATGTTTTGAAATAAAAGAAAAATCCCCAAAATCGAGAACAAACAGAGAGACAACCCCCCCCCACCCTCCAAAAAAATAAACAAAGAAATAAATGAGAAATAAGTGAATTGTTGCCGAATTAATGAATGGATAATGTCTGCGTGAATTCATAATTCAATGCATGATCCATGATGAAATGGATGACAGCATGCTGGTTTGCATGATGAAATGAATGAGTGCATGCATGCATGCATACCTAACTTAATGGTCTCGAATTCTGTTGTCTCTGAACCGATTTAATGGTTATTACCTGCTTTTTTATGCCTCCCTCAGAGTAAAACGTCCAATCCTTAGAGTCATTGCTGTTTGAGACTTCAAAGGCTTTAACAAAAATCTTTTCACCATCAATAACGACTCCTTCCGACTCAATGATCGTAAAATATGTCAAATGTTCTGAGGAAGAAACAGGAATTGACAAACAATAGACCATTGTTGTGAAATTGAAAAGAATCTAACGCCTCTTTGTTAAGTTTGGGTACACGCCAGGAATTCTGGATACAAGTAATGAATTCGACGCAGTCTTGTATCCCTTCTTAGGGAAATATTGTGTAATGTCAAGCTTATCTTTTTAGACTGCTATTTTTGCGAGATGGTATCGCTCGACTAAAACGACAGAACAAGGCAAAATTAACTGACTTTTTACTCTACGCAAAAAGCTTCGACCTCAATATACCTCGACCTGCTGCATTCGGTTCAGTTTTTCTGGCTTACGTCAAAATACATACCGAAGAAGATTTGTATGTAGGGATCTGAGTCGCTCTGTGACGCACACCATCCATCAGCCCATGATCCTTTGCTCTCCAAACCAATCCGACCACGGAAAGCCTGGTGCCCGTTACTCTGGTGCGATGATGACG